ATGAGATTATTTATACATTTTTATTTGAGTACGCATTCAGTGCAAGGGTTTTTGGTTGTGTTTTTTTATAGGAGCATAAAATAAGCCACATTGGATGCAAGGTTTGCAAAACATGCAAAGTCAGAGCTTAAAGTGTTACTAAACCCAGGACCCTGCATTCACTATATCTGGTCTCCCACAGAACACACAACATGGAAATGCAATTATTTTAGTAAATATAAACTGCTAAATACCTTTTTCTTATCAGCAGTTAGAGCAGTCTTATGACTTCTATCGCTGTCCAGCAAAGCACTGGTTAAAACATGTAGGGGGAGTTTTAATTCTGCTTTAGGAGGATGCAGAACTCCTGACCTCTGGCTGGACAGTGCTGATTGGCCCTGTTCTGATCACATGCACTCTCCCAAGAAAAAAAAAAACCTCTCTACAAATTCACACCAAACTGAGCATGTGCAGAGTGACTCCACACCATATGTCTTATCAGGAGATAAGAGGGGCCGCTAGAAGGAGAAGATCATAGAAGTCAGGATCAAACAGCCTTTTTACACAATGCAGAGGATTAACCCCTTAGGTTCCACAGTGAGTATAACAAGCAAGCTTTACTGCATAAGCAGCACAAAAATGGTAAATTCAGGCCAACTATTTTAGTAATACACAAGGTGCTGATCACGGTTAACAATATATATCGTTGTTGTTAGTAATATTTATTAGAATAATGTATTTGTTTTTTTTTTTGACTGTTGATATACCCAGCTATTTCCATTGAGTCACTCTCCAAGTTATTGGACTGGGAGGGAACTATGCAATCACACCTCTCCACCACAGCACAATGAAGTGTTATATTTCTCTCAAGGCAAATACTTTGTGCACTGTGTACATACATTATGCAACATCTCCGCTATCTTTAGTCATTTCAAGGCTGTCATGAAGCGATTAACCTAGTTAATGTAGAAAAACACACAGAATGAACATATGGCAGACTAAGCAGAGAAGCAAACATGAGCAGCGTGGCTAGAGGGCAGGGACAGATGTTTCAAAAGAGTAGGACAGATATGGGTTAACAACTCCATCCAGAAATTAAATGTTGGTGGTGAGTGGAGCTATAAAGCAATGGTAAATTCTCAGCTTTACTTTCTAACATTATTACAAAGCTTCCTTCAGTCCCACACTCTAAAAGTGATATTAAAGGCTTGTTTTTTTTTTCTTTAAATTACTTGTCCTCTGGAAGATTTACCCCCTTCATGATCAGGTCATTTTTTGCAATAAGGCACTGCGTTAATTTAACTGATAATTGCACGGTCATGCAACGTTAAATTTATATAATTTTTTCCCCACAAACAGAGCTTTTTCTTTTGGTGGTATTTGATCTCCTGGGTTTTTTATTTTCTGTGCTGTAGACAAAAAAAAAAAACAGACAGTTTGGAAAAAAAAAACTTTTTTTACTTCCTGCTTTAAAACACATCCAATTAAAAAAAAAAAAAATCTAATTTCTTCATAAAATTCAGGGCAAAATGTATCCTGCTACTCATTTTTGGTACCAGTAATGGTGGCGATCAGCAACCTAGGGACTGAGATATTGAGGTGGAAAGCCTGACAATGACACTTTGTAGGAACCAGTGGCACTAATACAGTGATCAGCACTAAAAATGTACACTGTAACTGTATTAAATGACAGTGAAGTGGTTACCATCTAGGGCAATAAAAAGGTTAAATACGCGCCTTATCAGTGTTTTACTGTGTAATATCTGCTGTTTTTACTAATGGATGTGCTGGATCAATCTAGCACATCGCCGGTGACAGGACACAGCACTCTTCCATTGGGCGGAACTCCTGGAGTGCATGCACGCCTCCTAGAGTGTGAGTGTGTGTGAGTGTGTGTGTTTGTGTGTGTGTGTGTGTGTACATACACAGTGGGGCAAAAACGTATTTACTCAGCCACCAATTGTGCAAGTTCTCCCACTTAAAAAGATGAGAGAGGCCTGTAACGGTTTCATCTTCAATGCCCTTGCTGATGGAAGGAGGTTTGCACTCCAAATCTCACGATACATGGCCCCATTCATTCTGTTCTGTACATGGATCAGTCGTCCTGGTCCCTTTGCGGAGAACCAGCCCCAAAGCATGATGTTGCCACCCCCATGCTTCACAGTAGGTATGGTGTTCTTTGGATGCAACTCAGCATTCTCTCTCCTCCAAACACGACGACTTGTGTTTCTACCAAACAGTTCTATTTTGGTTTCATCTGACCATATGACATTCTCCCAATCCTCTTCTGGATCATCCAAATGCTCTCTAGCAAACTTCAGACGGGCCTGGACATGTACTGGCTTAAGCAGGGGGACACGTCTGGCACTGCAGGATCTGAGTCCCTGGCGGCGTAGTGTGTTCCTGATGGTAGCCTTTGTTACGTTGGTCCCAGCTCTCTGCAGGTCATTCACTAGGTCCCCCCGTGTGGTCCTGGGATTTTTGCTCACCGTTCTTGTGATCATTTTGACCCCACGGGGTGAGATCTTGCGTGGAGCCCCAGATCGAGGGAGATTATCAGTGGACTTGTATGTCTTCAGTTTTCTAATTATTGCTCCCACAGTTGATTTGTTCGCACCAAGCTGCTTGCCTATTGCATATTCAGTCTTCCCTGCCTGGTGCAGGTCTACAATTTTGTTTCTGGTGTCCTTCGACAGCTCTTTGGTCTTCACCATAGTGGAGTTTGGAGTGTGACTGTTTGAGGTTGTGGACAGGTGTCTTTTATACTGATAACAAGTTCAAACAGGTGCCATTGATACAGGTAATAAGTGCAGGACAGAGGAGCCTCTTAAAGAAGAAGGTACAGGTCTGTGAGAGCCAGAAATCTTGCTTGTTTGTAGGTGACCAAATACTTATTTTCCACCATAATTTGCAAATAAATTCTTTCCAAATCAGCCAATGTGATTGTCTGGATTTTTTTTTTCTCATTTTGTCTCTCATAGTTGAGGTCTACCTATGATGCCAATTACAGGCCTCTCTCATCTTTTTAAGTGGGAGAACTTGCACAATTGGTGGCTGACTAAATACTTTTCTGCCCCACTGTGTGTGTGTGTGTGTATATATATATATATATATATATATATATATATATATATATATATATATATATTACACATATACATACACACACAGCTTCCGCCCTGTAGCAACAAGTCTGCTATAGGGCAGACACCAAGTGGTTAAATAAACATGTCATACTTGCCTGCTCTGTGCATTGCTTTTGCACAGAGCAGCACCAATCCTCTTCTTGGGTCCCCTGTTGGCGCTCCAGGCCCCTCCCTCCTGAGCCAGCTGCTCCAGTGAGAAATGGAGGGGCAGAGCAGAGAGCTGGAGAGTGACAGTCACACTACCTGCTCGAAGCGGTGGGGGAGATCTGAGAGATCACTCAGTTCTCTGTGTACAGCCAGTGGGGGACAGCTGCAGCTGGGATTGGTGTGCAGGCATATAGACCAGTACAATTTATTTTTTTTGGCTATTCTCAAACTTTTCTTTTAAGGGGAAGCAAACCTGATGACACGTCACCCAGGATACATAACCTCTATAACATAAAATACATAACCTCATGCACCATGCAAAAGAAAACTGATAATTGTGTCCAGGAAATACTGGAAACTCCAGCATTTAGGTGCAGGTGGCAGGCACAAGTGCACCATCCACCATACTAAGAGAAGCTGACAGCCGCCATAGCTGGATGTGGCTGGACGGTGCACCTAGCAGTACTCAAATTTAAGGCACTGTATGCTCAGGGACAAATGCTTGAATTGCAAGCAGTCTGTTTTCTAGCAATTTGTCCCTGGGCCCATAATAACCTAACTGTAAGTACCTCTAGCAGCACTGTCCAGCGCCAGTAGCTCACAGCCTTCCCTAAAGTTTGACAGACTTCTGGTAGTGATGGTGCATCTGTGCCCACAGCCTGCACCTAAATGCCAGAGCTTCATACACTGGGGTTAAACGTCCTGTGTGCATGGGACCTAACTGTCTGAATGTCCATGTAATCCCACATGTGTATCTCTAAGTTTGCTATTGGAAAGAAGTCAAGCTTCTTGTCACATGACACTGTGTGACTTCCCTATGTGTGCAAGACAATGCAAGGGCTGGGAATATCTTGCCTGCATACTAACATTGCTCAACAAGTGGTGTTTTATGTTGCAGGAATGAAATTAATGTCTGGAGCAATTTGGCAATGCCAAAAAAAAAAAAAAAAAAAAAAAAAAAAAAAAAAGACTCAGAGGCAACTAAGCCCCCCTGAATGCATATCAAAGCTTTACTTTCAATTCAGACTATGAACTTGTAGCACTAATTTGGAAGGGGGGGGGGCCTGTCAAAACTAGATTTCTTTAATATATATTTAATATTATTTAAAAGTAAAATGTTAGGCCTCATTCACACAGGTGAATGTTTCTTTAAACACTCTGAAAAGTGATTCACGAGGAGAGCTTTTAAGAGCTGGTTGACAGGCGGCTCAGGGACAATATGCTACCTATTTTTTTTTTTTTTGTGGAAATCGCGCAGCACTGCACCGCAACCACGTGCATTAGATGGAGTTGAGGCATGGCCCTATTCACTTGAATGCAGTGCACTTGGCAGCAGTACCACCGGCCAAAGGTACATTCTGTATAAAATTTGCCACTCTGTGACTGTGGCAATTTACACAGACATGTGCGCCGGCAATGTCAACTTATCCTTGGGCAGTCTGAACATGGATCAACCCTCCGCTGCCCGTGTGAACAAGGACTTACTGAGCTGAATGTCTGTACATGAAATACTGTGATAATTTTAGAACGAATCCACATGCTCATATTAAATACCCTTGTGTTCTAAACCCTCTAAAACCCTCTTGTACGTTACAAATCCCATATACATTCCGAAACTATACTGAATGTTACCACATGCCGATGGATAAAATCACCTGACACCATTACTGGAACATTCTTATACAGAAGAGATACGGCACCCTATATTTCTTTACAACACATGCCTACCTCAGGAGCCAGGAAATGTTCTTCTGTAGCACACTGTAAATTCTCTACAGCAGAAGAGGAATCCTCATTGATACCCGGATCTATAAATGATTAAACAAGAAACAATTGGTGCACTGACTTTAAATGACTGCTCTGGATTTACACTTCTTTTAATATTCTTTCTTTACCAGGTGCCTCTGCTGGAGAATCTGGCTTCGAATCTTGGACAAATGTCCTCCTGTGTTCTGAAGGACAGCCAATTTCTCCAGTTTCTGAGTGCAGTGTCTCTATATCTGAACCCTAAAGAAAAAAAAACAAACAAACAAGGAATCATGTTAGAAAAAGTAAATATTATAGAACATGTTTATGTACAACTTAAAGTAAACCTGTAAGCTTAGTAAAATGATGGATTCTAAGGTTTCAATGTGAGATAGCAGAGTCTATAATGAGGTTAGTACTATGGTGCTCCGTTTTAAGAAAACCTACTGTTCTCTGGGAATCCTTTGTCAGGTATTACATGTTGGTTTGTAAAAAGAAAAGAGTTTATACATGTAGTACAAACAGATGCAGAACAGCCAAAAAAAACTCACAAACATAAAAAAGAAAATGGACCAACACAATTACAATAGAGTTTCCCTTTCAGATCCTAGCCAGCTCCTGACTGGGGAGTCCAGATCTAATCAAGAACTAGCTCTGAAAACTGTGTCCTTTAATCTCCACAAATGATTACGATACAGTAACTAAATCCAGTGACAAGATACTGAATTGAACAATCATAAATACTGTAATTCTATAATAAGCGCTATGCAGGTCCATTAAGAGCAGACATCTAATATGGAAAGTTAATTTTAATTGTTAACAAAAAAGAAGTAGCAGATGTTTTAAAACAATGTGCTGGATAAATAATTCATCCAGAAGTCACTAAGCGACTACATGATAAGTCACAAGGCATAAATAGGTAGTGCATTGACAATGGTGGTTACAATCCAGCACCTAGGACATATCAGGATAACATTAAGAACAAATAGTCCTGAATTCAGCAGTGCTCTGAAACAGAATATTTACTATTAAACATTAGCAAAGTAAGTTACTCAGAACTGTTCCAACTGCAGATATGAAAGACTATAAAACTTTGTTTCAAGACTATCCGTTCTTTCCCTTTCCTATTTCAATAGCAACTTATGATGTGGCCTTTCAAGCCAAATTTAAAATTTCATCTGTTGTGAAGTTGAAGTGTAAAGTCACCTTAAAATTACTCAACAAACATTAAACAGCCATATAAACCATGTACCTTGATAACACCATAAGTTGCATGGTATTGTTGGTAAATGGCCAGCAGCATCCAACAGTCATTGCAAGACAACCGAGCGTGAGCAGAAGTCAAGAAGTCAAGCATGGTGCTATGCATTTATCAGGGTGCATGTGTTATATGGCTGTTTTTATGGTCATACAGTAATTTTGGGGTGGACAACAACTTTAATATGAAAAAGGTTACATGCAATTAGAAATGTTGCCATACTATGTTAAAACTAAAGGTAGCTGTATTAAAGTGATTGTAAAGTTAATTTTTTTTTTTCAAACATGTAATACTTATCCCCGATCCTCCTCTTCTGGGGTCCCCTGACAGCACTCCTGGCTCCTCTTCTTGGTGTGCCACCAGAGAAATCTGCTTCCTATGGTGGCACAACTGGGCGCTTGATCCTGAGCCACGCTGCCTGCGTCCATAGACACAGCCAGCGTGGCTCGGCCTTGTCCCCCACTCCCTCATCACAGGATTTGACTGACAGCAGCAGGAGCTAATGGCCTTTACAGCAAAGCCTGTGAGAGCTGGGAGAGCTACATAGCTGCTCCAGATGGGCTGGATCGAGTGAGGGCTCAGGTATGTATAAGGGGGGGAACGCAATACAGGTACTGCAACATTTTTTTTACCTTAATGCAGTTAAAGTAAAACATGTTAGGCTTTAGAACCACTTTAAAAATATACTAAATAAATTATTAAAATTAAGCTTTTAAATTATGTCTCAAGTGAAAGATGCAACCAGCTTACCAAAAGACATGGAACACCAAGAGGTACCCTGCAGGGTAGAGAAGAATTTGACAACACACACTTGTCTAAAACATACAATATATGTGATTCAAAGTAATTCAGTAGTATGGCTAAAGCTATTTTGGCTATACTTCTCCTGTGGGTCACAGGAGTGCACTTCGTTCTGCACTGTTGCGATACAGATTCAGTCGACAGTGGGCTAAAGTTCGCTGACAGTTCATGACACAGAGCTAGTCCAGGCTCTGCAGGGATCCTGGCAATAATGTCTGCTCAGATGCCTGACGGGCAGCAGGCTCAGCCTCTCAACACACCACTGAGAGCCTGGGCTCACCCAATCTTGCCCCATCCACAGCCGGTGCCCCAATGATCGCTGGAGGAGCAGAGCAGAAAGCCAGTGACTGACAGACGCCAGATCGCTGCTCACTGAAGTCCGTGAACTGAGCGATCAGCAGTCTTGCTTGGTTGGTTCTCAGTCTTAGAGGCGGTGGGGGACAGATGCAGCATCAGACCGATGCTGCATCCACCTAGGTGGCCTGCACCTCTCTTTTAAGCAGAGTTTAACGTACATGTTACACTAAATATTTTTTTTTTTCGATCTGTGTTCACATATGCATATTTTATAAATCAGTCGCTATAATTTTTATGTACTTCTTCCATCTTAAGTACCAGGTTGATACTGTAAGTCACCTTTCTTGCTTGTTCTAAAGTGACCACACAAAGCATAGGAGTTGAGGTGTGTTTGCTTAGTCAGTTTTCATCCCTTGGGTAGTCATTCAGTGGGACAGGACACACAGCATGCCTGCATTGGGTAGATTGTTCAGCCACCATGCCTCTGACCAATCACCGCTTGTCTCTGGCACACACCCCTTCTCAGTTACAGCCTGCCTCTTGATCACACAGCCTGCATCTTGCCTCAGGCTGAATGGAATACAGGCATGCTGTGTCTCTGCACAGTGTCCCGTAAACCCGCCACTCACTATCAGGAAGGAGAGATGCATGGTCACATGACAGAACTTTTTAACTTTATAAAAAATATAAGAAAGATAATTTCTGAAACTAAGCAAAAGAATTTATTGTGCCTGAATAGTTAGAGCTGTATTAGAAGTGTCTATAACATTGTACACAATAATGTTCTATGAAAACATTGGCATGGTCTACCCATTTAGTGTGTAAGTGTATTCAATGTATATACACAAACAAGATAATGCCATAATGTGTGGAATGAAAGCTAAAAGCTTTGCTCTTTTATGTTTTTTTTTTGCTAATAGCAGGGGCATGAACTTCTTATGTCAAGAGTCAACCTGGGAACTAGAAAATAAGCTTATCACTGTGGCCACATGTATGCTAGCGAAAAAAAACCCCAAGCTGGATGTTGCTGAGTGTCTATCAGCGCCATGTCCTAACAGACAGAATAATGCAATGCAGCAGGGTTGTTATGTTACCAATGACAGAATAATACCCCTTTAATTCAGAAGTCGTGCTACATAAAGACACAAGGGATAACTCAGTGTTACTAGGGGTGACATACAGTGCCTTAAAAAAGTATTCATACTCCTTGAAAATTTCCACATTTTGTCATGTTACAACCAAAATCGTTGGGATTTTATGTTATAGACCAACACAAAGTGGCACATAATTGTGAAGTGGAAGAAACATGATAAATGGTTTTCAACATTTTTTACAAATAAATATCTGAAAAGTGTGGTGTGCATTTTTATTTAGCCCACTTTACTCTGATACCGCTAACTATAATCCAGTGGAACCAATTGCCTTCAGAAGTCATCTAATTAGTAAACAGAGTCCACTTGTGTGTAATTTAGTATAAATACAGCTGTTCTGTGAAATCCTCAGAGGTTTGTTAGAGAACAATAGTGAACATCCTCATGAAGGCTAAGGAACACACCAGACAGGTCAGGGATAAAGTTGTGGTGAAGTTTAAAGCAGGGTTAGGTCATAAAAAAAATCCCAAGCTTTGAACATCTCATGGAGCACTGTTCAATCCATCATCTGAAAATAGAAAGAGTATGGCACAACTGCAAACCTACCAAGACATGGACATCCACCTAAACTGCCAGGCTGGGTAAGGAGTGCATTAATCAGAGAAGCAGCGACCGCCCCATGGTAACTCTGGAGGACCTGCAGAGATCCACAGCTCAAGTGGGAGAAACTGTCCACAGGACATATATTAGTCATGCACTCCACAAATCTGGCCTTTATGGAAGAGTGGCAAGAAGAAAGCCATTGTTGAAATCCATAAGAAGTCCAGTTTGCAGCTTGCGAGAAGAAGGAAGAAGGTGCTCTGGTCAGATGAGAACAAAATTTTACTTTTTGGCCTAAAAGCAAAATGCTATGTGTGGTGGAAAACTAACTGCACATCACCCTGTACACACCATCCCCACCGTGAAACATGGTGGTGGCAGCATCATGTTGTGGGGATGCTTTTCTTCAGCAGGAACAGGGAAGCTGGTCAGAGTTGATGGGAAGATGGATGGAGCCAAATACAGGCCAATCTTAGAAGAAAACCGGTTAGTGTCTGCAAAAGACTTGAGACTGGGGTGGAGGTTCACCTTCTAGCAGGACAACGACCCTAAACATACAGCCAGAGCTACAATGGAATGGTTTAGATCAAAGCATATTCATGTGTTAGAAGTCCAGATCTAAATCAAAATTGAGAATCTGTGGCAAGACTTTAAAATTGCTGTTCAGACACTCTCCATCCAATCTGACAGAGCTTGAGCTATTTTGCAAAGAAGAATGGGCAAAAATGTCCCTCTCTAGATGTGCAAAGCTGGTAGAGACATCCCCAAAAAGACTTGCAGCTGTAATTGCAGCGAAAGGTGGTTCTACAAAGTATTGGCACAAGGGGGCTGAATACAAATGCACACCACACTTTTCACATATTTATTAGTCAAAATTTTTGAAAACCATTTATCATTTTCCTTCCACTTCACAATTATGTGCCACTTTGTGTTAGTCTAGCACATAAAATCCCAATAAAATACATTTACGTTTTCGGTAACATGACAAAATGTGAAAATTTCAAGGGGTATGAATATTTTTTCAAGGCAATGTAAATAAAAGACAGAACAACACAAAATAACTGAATGTGCCATTCTACAAAAGAGAGAATGGCACTAGAGGTGCCATGTTATGAAGGACAGAATAGCACAACATTACAAAACTCTGAATAACACCGTTCTTACAGACACCATGTTACAATGACAAAAAAACATAGAAGCTAATTCATAAAGCAGCAAGATGGCCATACTAAGATCATACCGCTACTTTAAAGAAAAAGATCCGCACATTTATAAGGCACAGGGCTCAATGAATCCCAGGCGCCAGGTCGCAATGGCGACTAGACATTGCATCCTGGCACCTGGGTTCACACACTGCCACCTATAGACTTCAATGAAAAATCGCACCCCAGCGATTCAATGGGAGATCGCATCCCAGAAAATTTAATGGAAGATCACGCCCCAGAGACTTTAATGGGAAATCACGCTCACCTTTTGCCGTCAGGTCTGTACATCGTACAGACCTAACAGCAGGGGATTTTATACACAATCTGGTGGCTTCAGTCACTGGGATTGTGTATAATACTGACAGGAAGACTGACAAGCAGTCAAGCTGCTGCCTGAACACTTCCACAGCCCCCGATACCTGTGCCCTCCCCACACACGCTCCCGCAATGTATCTGGGCCCCACTTACCCAATCGCGGGCCTGGGTGCGCCATGACAGGTGTCAGTGGGTGGAGGAGCGGGTGCCTTCTTTCTGTGACTCGGAATGTGACGTGCATGACGTATTGCAAACAAATTAAGTTACACCTAAGCACATAACATTCCCCACAAAATATTTCTGAGGCATCCCAACCCCCACATATATGCACGTATAAATGTAAACGCACACACCAGGGTGTCTACACAAGAGAACGTTGATTGCGATACACGTTACATATCGCCACGCACACTGGAGTGAGCGCAATGACTCTAGCACAAGACCTCCTCCATAACACTAAACTGATGACCTATAGGGGCTTTTGAAGAGTTGCCTATAGAAAATATAGGGTACCGAAGTTTGTCGCCATTTCATAGGCGCACACAAATTTAGGGTTTGGGATGTTGGGTATCTATTTACTCAGCGCAACCTCATCTTTTATATTTTACCAAAAATGTGGGTAATTTATTGCATTTGTTTGCCCTAAAATTCATTTTAGAGCGTTTTTTACTGATATTCTGCATTTCCTAGTCATTTGCAGGAAAATCCGGTGACATAAAAAATTGGATCTACCACTACTTTATTCTCTAGGGTGTCTGTTTTCAGAAAATATATGTTTGGGGGTTTGTGTTATCTTCAGGCCTGAAATAATTAAACGTGTGAAGAAAGGTAAAAACTGCTCTGGCAGCGAAAGGGTTAATGGGAAACCGCCTTCAATGGAAAAACTCCTGTCAATAGCAATCCTATGTAAACATTCATGCCACTCTATTCTATCACTTGCTTCTGGAACGCACCGCTCCAAACTTACACACGACCCTTTTCATAATGGCACACAATGCATGTGGATTGCATTTGTGTGAACCACCTCAGTAGGAACACAAAATATCCAGCCTGTCATGTGAATCAGTGAGTTTCAAAACGCACCCAGAACCGCACATGTGTGAACCAGGGTAGCTCCATTCACACCTGGGCGTTTTGGGATCACAGCAGAATCACCGTGATAGCAAAACGCAGATTCAGGTGCCATTATTTTCAGTGGCGCCTAAAACGTGGTGCGGTTTTGCCGTAATTGTCACGTGGCAAATCTCGTGAAGTCCCAGGCACTGACAACCCACGTTACACAAAAAAAAATGGCTCCTAACTTTTTTAGCTGGCTCATAAATTTAAAGCAAATTTGTCAAGCCCTGATAATGCACATTGATGGGATTCAAAAATGTGCTTAGTAAACTGCCAGCTTTGAGACTCTGAAACCAGTGGAGCACTATGAAAGTGAATGACGTTGTAAAAACTTATTGTTCTCTGTTATAAATGAGTGTTACTAGCAGCACCATTGGTACCATTTTACAAGAAGCTGATTTAAGTATTAATGTGAAACTTGTAAAACAACGCATTCAATTTAATTAGCAATGAAAGGCAAAACATTTGCGTATACATATGAAAAAATATTATATACACCCCCCCCCCCCCTTTTTTTTTTAATCAGTGATCACATACCCTCTGTTCTCAGCTGCATAAGGATCTCAGAGCTGGGGGAGGAGAAAAAGCAGCACACTAATCTTCCCAGTGAATGGGTGCAAGGGAAGGAGGAGGGAGTGTCAGCACAAGCCTGATCATTGGAGGAGAGCAGACTTATTATTCAGCACAGGTAAAGAACAGACCTCCCTGTGCTCTAATGCCTAGCATGGTCAGTCTTTAGGGAATGCAGAAGGACTGGCAGGAACACCAGGGATTTCACACAAAGAAAGCAATACAGAGAGAACAGAATACTTTATCATACAAGTACATGGTACAGCAGGCACATGAAATGTTGGCTTTACATATTTTTTTAAAGTGTGTCTATGGCTAACATTTAAAATATATACATTTTCACATTTAATTTCAATTAGTTCGGCCGTATTCTTATGAATGGTCTTGAAGTATGAAACTGTACTTTTTAAAGAATCCCACACCTTTGATTCCATGAGTTCTGTGGATCATATTTACTATACCTAATTAATATGCTCTGCTGTGTTTTTTAGAGCAAACTAAAACTATACTATGGAGGTGCTGAAGAGAAGGAGATTCAGAAGGAAGGCAAGCAGCAAGGAGCCATGGGATCTGCAGTCTACAGAAAGTGAAAGTAAACCAAAGGAATGAGCAGAGAAGAGAAGCTGCAAAGCATATAAGGAATCTGGGAAGCTGTGAAAAGAGATGACTAGCAACCTCAAAACATGAAAGGAAAGCTTATGTAAGGAAAGTGTTCTGGAAGCAATAGGAGTAGAAAACAAATAACATGAGCAGGTTTTAAAGGTGGACCTTTAGGGGTGTTGGTGATGAGCCTGACAACCATGGTACCAAACATGTGACCAGAGGAATGAGCCAGGGATGTCCATACCTAGCAGCACCTTGGTCTTGATTTTTTTAGTAAGCGACCTGGCTTTAGCATCTAGAACACCTGTCAAACACAAGGCCCGTGGCCAAATTTGGCCCTCCAGGCCATTTCATGTGACCCTCACACACCTCTCCAGCAGCTGCAGCACCAGCCTCTAGTCTCAGCAATCGGCAGCAAAAGAGGAGTACAGAACTCCTCTACCAGATCCTGTGCTTCTCCCTGCAGTCGTGCAGAGGATCATCTTAGCAGTCGGCAGAAAAGAGAACAGAACTCCTACAGATCTTGCACCTCTCTTAGCAGCCACAGTACCCCCTCATCTCTGCCTTCCCTGGTCTCAGTATTCAGCAGACTCCAGCCCTCGTCTGGTCCTCCTCCAGACCCTGCACTTTCTGCTTCCCTACTCCGCCCCCAGCAGCACAAGGTGATGTAAGGGAGGGTAGGGGACTCTTGACTTCTGATGGGAAGGCTCTTGACATCTGATGTAAGGGAGGGCTTTGGACATCTGCTCATAATTATTATGAAAATAATACCACTCTATGGCAGTTGAAAAAGCAGATCACACACCATTGGTATAATTCACAAGAAACTTTATTGGAGACCGCTCATATAGAACACCATGGCAGGTCCATATTCTGTCTGAGCCGTCTCCAATAAAGTTTCTTAAGGATGATACCATTGGTATGCAACCCTCCTTGTCAGACTTGCATCATATGCTACAGGAGTGTGAAGCAGGCTCCATGCTAGTCTGCACCTGCCCTTCACAGCTTAAGAAGAATGGGATTTAGGAAAAAAACAAATAAAAGGAAATTCACTTATGTGGATGTAGCATCGGTCTGATGCTGCATCTGTTTCCCACCGGCTCTACACTGAAAACTGAGTGATCAAACACTGCTGATTGCTCAGTTCTCAGCTTTTTGTAAGTAGAGAGACTGTCAGTCTCCAGCTCTCTGCTCTGCCCTCCAGTGCTCACTGGAGTGCTGGAGTGTTGGGAAAGGGGGTGAGGTGGGGCGGAATGGTTGGCTCAGAGGCTCGCTGAGAGGCTGAGCCAGCTGCCAGTCCAGGCTTCTGGGCAGATCCCAACAATGTGGTTGGGATATTTTTAGACCGGACCGCTGATTTCTCAGTTCTCCCTTCCACTCTGAGTAGAGAGCGGTGACTGTCAGTCACTGGAGAGCTGGCTCAGGCTCCTGGGTGGATGTCAACCATATGGTCTCTATCTTTCCCCAGACTGAACCGGTTCTGTGACTTAAGCCGACAGCGAGCTTTAGGCTGCTAAAGAAGGGTCACAGGAGTACAGAACTAAGTGCACACCTATGACCCATAGGAGAAGTATAGACAAAATAGCTTTGGCTATACGTCTCCTTTAAGTCCCAAGTTATTACTAAAATTAGTAACATTCAAATGCAGAGGCAATATTTAATATGTTAACGAGTAGATACATTTAAGTAGTCTTAGAGCTACAACCAGCCCTTTGAGGATAGCCATAATGCTAATGCAGCCCACAATGAAATTGAGTTTGACACCTCTGCTCTAGAACATTCCAAAAGTGAACATGTGACCCAGAATCAAGACACTGACAAATAAAAACATATGAGTGAACATTTTGTTCGATTAAAGAACAAAGGATAAAGTTACTTGCCTCATGGTTGATAATTGTCCACCCGCATGATGATTCACTGTCACTAGAGTTTTCTGACATGTTTTTCTGAAAAAAAAAAAAAAAAGAAAAAGATGTCAAGAATTCAGACTAACTGTCCTCTGGGCAATAATCAAACAAAAGGACCTGAAGAAGGTTAGAGCACTTCAAAAAACAAAAGACCTCTTTGCCAGCAGAAAATTTCTCTGAATTGAGTTTTGGTTATTATATTGAACCATTTGTCATGCTAATGCCTCCGCTGATTTATGTTTTCACTACAAAGAAAGCACTACTTTTATGAAATATTCACAAAGTACAGAAGAAAGTGTTTTCCTTTCCAATGAATGCAATTAAAAAGGACAATCCAGACTGAAAAGCAGTCTAATAAAAAGATGCCATTACTTTACTTGAATATACAGTAAATGTTAGATGTACTTGTAAAGTAAATACCTAACAATTAAAAAGCTAATTTCATTCAAAACCACACATATTCATAGAGCTGACCTTCATACATCTGACTTCTAATAAACCACAAGTGTCAACGTGTCCAATAGCTTCTTGGATGCAAGGCCATGGGCTTCCAACCCTGATAAACTGAACACAATTCTTAGATTTCATTATTATATTTTATACAGCTCTGCAATGCCTTTCAAATTGCGAGATCTGAAAATTCTTCTATGCTTTTATCTAAATTTCTTACCCTTCAGATCTGTAGTCACTGAGGTGCAAGAAAAACATTTGCCAGCAAGTTAAAGGAAGTGAGCTCTCTTTATCATACATCACAGGACACAGAGCAGGCTATTCACGACTACGTGAGTTATAGGCCACCTATAGGTGAATGGACACTGGCCGAGCAATCAGAGAGGAGATCCTACCCTATATAACCCCTCCTATACAGGAAGTACTTCAGTTTTTTCGCCAGTGTCTGTAAGGTGGATGGTCACAAAGTGTTGTTGTGCTCTTGGAACATACCCGAAAGTCCAGAACGGTTCCATTAGAGAATCAGGGACTTAAATCTGATCCATTCGGAAAGCTGTGAGCCAAAATGGATGGTACCCGAGCCTCGCTGGATAAGGAGAAGAATCATCATGGGTTTGCCTGTATTGCAGCCTTATGGCGGTGGACCCCATGCAGATGGAACCCTGTGCTATTTAAAATCTGACCAAGGTGCTTCCAGCAGGGTGCTATACTGGTCCAAGGCAGTGGCCCCTCAGCAGACTGAGCCCTTGAAGGTATGTATGACAATGCCCACCATGATGGGTAAAGGTTGGTGCCTGATGGAACTCAGGGATCTGCATTGGGACTGGTAAGAGATCTCCTTTTTTCTCTCTGTAAAGAGAAACAAACTTCTAAATTGGAGGGAAAAGAAGAGGTGTTGTGGCTGTGAGTTTCCATTAGGGGGAGTGCTCACAATTGTTCCTGAGATGTGCTTGCTCTTCTGTTTTCAGCCACTAGAGGGAGTACAGCCTGGGCACGCGCATGAACAGTAGTGGCCGGAAACAGAAGTCGGCCATATTTGTTTATCTGGAGGCCAGGACACATGTGGGCTGCTGCTGCTTGGGAATCTCCTGTGGCCAGGACAAAGAGTGGGCTATTCTGTAGGGGCGTGTGAGTACTCCCCTGAGGGGGAAGCGTGGACCAGTCAGGAGCCACCTTAGGTGGCTCATAAGGCAGCATTTGCATTGAGTACTTTTACTTCAGTACACAACTTGCAAAGCTGTATCATGAGATGTTTTTACTAGAGGAGGTACACAGGTTTGCGCTATCTGAAGTAATGTCTTCCAGAAAGCAGAGTGGGGGAGGTGCAGCAGGAAAGGGCACTAATGTACCACCGCCATGTCCTCAGGAACCTAGCCAAAGGTCCGCTGTAATATCCTCTCTTGACAGGCCAGAAGCAACTGGGCAGCCTGAGCTTCTGCGTTTATCTGGCATTGTGGCTAGTACTGGGGCTTCTGCCTCAGCATATGTAACCATGCATGATCTTGCTTCAGCCTTAGGGGGTTTAGAAGATACGATTGCTGGGATGATAGCATCAGTTTCTCAGGGGACTAAGAAGCAGAATAGATCCCCGTCACAAGAACCACCAATCCTGGAGCAGGAATGGGTGAAGCCTGAGGATGAGGAAGAGCTAGAGGAAGGTCAGGCAGTAGAATTTCTGTCTGAGGAGTCACAGCCTGAGCAGAAGCAGGTAGTCTCTGCTTCCCAGTCTCAGAGATTTTTAGTCCAGGACCTCGCTGATATGGTACGGTCTAGATTCGGGCTACCTCCGATAGAAACTTCTGAGGTTACTTATTCTTCCCTGGGCTCTTTGAAGCCTTCACAGAGTACTCAGGCATTTTAAGTGCATCCTCTTCTGAAGCAAATTATGTATGATGATTGGGATCATCCAGACAGGGTTTTTGTTCCACCAAAGAGGTGTTCTTTCTTGTACTCCATGGAACAAAAGTTTGTTAAGAAATGGGGGTTGCCTGTAGTGGATACAGAGGTTTCATCCCTGAATAAATTTTTAACATGTGGATAATTTACAGGTTTTCCAGGACCCAGCGGATAAAAAGCTGGAGTTTCTCCTTATGGCCTCCTTGTCCCTGGCAGGTTCTGCCACACAGCCAGCCATTTGCATTTGCCAGAGTTTTTCTGACCGTATCAAGCAGCGGATTGGAGGACCATCAGTGCAGGGGAAATGCTCAGCCGAGGATTTGTAGGATGTTTCTCGTGTTTTGTGTTTCATGGTTGATGCTCTTAAGGATTCAATTCAGCAAATTTCTCGATTAGCCTTCTTAACAGTGAACATGCACAGGGTTTTGTGGCTGAAGAGTTGGTCAGCAGATCTGCCATGCAAAAAACTTTTGGCAGGTTTCCCTTTCATGGGGAATGGCTGTTTGGGGAAGATTTGGACAACTATATCCAAAAGATTTCAGGGGATAAGAGTGCTCTTCTGCCCTTCAAGAGGAAATCCAAATGTCCTTCATTTAAGGTGTCAGGGGCTTCGGTTGCTGGGCCCTCATCTACCCGGCAGTCGTTTCGCCACACACAGGTCCCAGGCTCCAGAGGTAGATCTCAGAATCAAAACCCAAGGAGGCCCTGGGTACAAATGTCATTTAAGACATATCCATGGTCTGCCTCCTTATGAAGGGGCGCCCACACTTGTTCAGGTGTGGGGGGGGGAGGCTTGTGAATTGTATGGCTGCATTTCTCTGGGGTACAGGCTAGAATTTCGGGTATTTCCCTCTCCCCGGTTTCTAAGATCAAATGTACCAATAAATTCAGAGAAGAAGAAGAGCTTTATTTCAGGCACTCTATTGCTTATTGTCTCAGGGAGTGATCATAGAGGTTCCAGCGGATAAAAGATTTCAGTGGTTTTATTCAAACCTGTTTACAGTCCCAAAACCAAATTGGGATGTAAGGCCCATTTTGGATCTCAAGGGGCTAAATCCGTTCTTAAATGTCCGAACCTTTCGTATGGAATCAGTTTGGTCAGTAGTGGCTTCCCTACAGGAGGGAGATTTTTTTGGCATTATATAGACATCAAGGACACATACCTGCATGTACCGATATTCATTCCTCACCAAAGATTTCTGCAGTTTGCAGTAGGGGCTCAGCACTTCCAGTTCATAGCAATACCATTTGGGCAGGCCACGGCTCCCTAAGTTTTCACAAAACGTCTTGCTACGGTGTTGGGACTACTCAGAACTCTGGAAGTAATCGGTCAAAGATTATCTACATCTCTTGCTCAGAAATTCGTCGGTGCCAGATCTGAAGCAGGATGTGGTCCTTACGATGCACATCCCGGAACAGCTGGGCTGGATGCTCAATCTCAAGAAGTTGGCCCTGGAACCAGTACAGAGGCTGGAGTATTTGGGGATGGTCCTAGACCCGGTTCAGGCAAAGGTATTTCTGCCTCTAGTTGTGCCCTGGGGAATGAGGTTTGCAGTTTGAAAACAAGAGGTATCCTTCAATTTGCCTCTGTATGAGGTTGCTGGGGAAGATGGTGTTCTCATTCGAGGCTATTCCCTATACTAAATTCCACTCCAGACTGCTGCAAAGGTACATTCTGTCTGTTTGGAACAAAAATATTCCAGCCTGGATTACTGCATATCTCTGTCTCCAGAAGTGCAGCAGAGCCTGAATTGGTGGTTGATAATTCACAATTTGGAGAAGGGAAGATCTTTTTGACCAGTGGTATGGAAGTTGGTAACCACCGATGCCAGCCTTTCAGGTTGGGGTGCCATTCTGGAGGAGGCCACAATTCATTGAACATGGCTTCCACGGGAAAGGGTTCTTCCCATCAATGTCCTGGAACTTCGAGCAGTGAGGCTGGCTCTGAGGTATTGGACATCCAGGCTTCAGGGTTGGCCTGTAAGGATTCAGTTAGATGCCACAGCAGTCACATTCATCAACCACCAGGCTCAGATGGAGGTGAGCTACATTCTAACCTAGGCAGAAATATGTTCCAAGTCTGTCAGCAGTGTTCATTCCAGGTGTGGAAAATTGGCAAGTGGATTATCTCAGTCACTGGCAGTTGATTCCATGGGAATGGGCTTTGCATCACGATATTTTGAAGGAAGTCTGCCAGCGATGGGGTTGCCCTTTTGGCATCCAGGTTAAACAAGGTCAGTGTTTTTGTGTCCAGGATAAGCAAGGATAGACTCCTCAGGGATTTCTTGGAACCAGTTCTTACCGATTTATGCCTTTCCTCCGATCCAGCTGCTGCCGCGTCTCTTGATCAGGATTCAGGAGTCTATTCCGGTGATACTGATTGCACCAGCCTGGCCCAGGAGGGCCAGGTACTTGGACACAGTGAAGATGGCAGTAGATGGGCCGTGGGCCCTTCCGTATTGGCCAGACCTGTTGTCTCAAGGTATATTGCACCCAGCTTTACGGTCGCTAAATTTGACCACGTGGCTATTGAAATCTAGATCCTGAAGGATAGGGGCGTATCGGATTCTGTCATCCCCATCATTTTGGGTGCTAGAAAGGTAGTTTCTAGGAACATTTATTACAGAACCTGGAAGGCTTACATTGCCTGATGTGAGGTTCACAAATATTACCCATGAAAGTGATTG